TTCCATTTAATAAGTGACTATTCGGGTTGAACTGTCAAAGAGACACTACACCATGAAACGACTGTGTGTGTGTGTGTGTGTGTGTGTGTGTGTGTGTGTGTGTGTGTGTGTGTGTGTGTGTTCAAAGAGTAAGTTTCATTTCCTAGTAAGCGCGTCATTAGTCACTGGGTGTGGTATGGAAAAAACGGTTGGCTGTCACAGAGGAGACCTTACTTCTCTACCAGCTGACGGTGCGCTCGCCCTCTGCACAGTACAGACCATTAATTTAGGTTTTTGATTTACATCTGATCATGCAGAATACAAGAAACAGCCGTGGAATTCCTGAAGATTATTTAATAAGAGAGCATGCAAAGCTGAGTCATTTAAAAGAGGTGGCTCAAGGTACTCATTTATACTATAAATACCTCTCCAAAGAAAACATCCCTGATTACCCTAAACCTGAGTTTCATGTGGCTCAACTGAAACATGACACACAGCGACGGGCACTACTTCGGATCTGGAAGGACGAAGGCTTCAAGGATCCTCGTGGAGGTTCCTCTGATCCTCAAAAACACTCCCTGGTGTGGTGGAGTCTGGCTGTGGGAACTGAGGAGATCCAGGAGGCTGAGGCGAGGCTCCTGAAGAGGACCTACCCAGACTGGACGGAGGAGCAGAAAGCGAAGCAGAAGAGCTTCCTGTGGAAGTTTGCCACCTCTCCAGCCTTCAGTGAGAAGTCCATCTTTGGATCGTACCGCTTCACCTTCACAGTGCAGGAGGTGCTGGAGGCCTACCGCAAGCAGTTACTGACTGCTTACTTTTAGACTAATGTGTGTAGAGGGTGGGAGGGTTTCTTACAATTCATTTATCCATCATCTCAGACTGAAAGTAACATCAGGCTGAGAGAGTAAACGACCACAGAGACAAAGAAGAACATCCTGTGGCCACGAACAGGATCTGTCGTGTGTGTGTCAGTACATCAGTGTAACAGGTGTGTCTCCATTATTGTTGCCAGTTTTGCTCCGGAGCTCCGCCCATCATGAGGGTGTACAAAACCTCCCTGTACAAACAGGAAGTGGTACATGTTGTCCTGGTCCACAGCCCGGCCAATCAGGAGCTCTTCTCAGAGTATCCTTTGCTCCCTCATAATGACCTGAACGCTGTCTGCACTTACAAAGATGGACGCTTCATCTGGAGACCGGAGGCCATGTGCGAGACACACGGGTAAGAATCACACAGGTAAAAATGTTAACCAAAGGTCACTGAAGGGCTGTTGGTTGAAATGTATTGAAAAAGCAACTAAATCAGTTTCACTCTCTCCAATGATTGGCTCCTTTGCTTCACTCTGGCTGTGAGCATCAGTGTGATGGACCTGTGACATTGCAGCAGGCTGAAGTCCTCTGTCAGCTGATTGGTTAAAATGCTGTGTGTGTCTCTGACCTTCCTCTCAGCTATGAGTTGATCCGAAAACCTGACGAAAACCAGATGTACACTCGGAGTCTATTTGGGTCTGATTGTCAGTTTTATGTTTGGGATAATGTCGCCATCGCCCTGTACGTGGAGCGCGGACAGGTACTGTCACCTCCTCCTCACTCTGTACAGCAGGTGTCTTTGTGTGATAAAGTGTAGTGTGTATTTGTGAGCGTTTCGTTCATAACAAAGTTTTGTAGTTTCTCCTCATAAATGTCGCTCGTCTTCTCTGCTCTCTGTGAGGTGCTGAAGTTTGACTGTGACCTTCTGAGAGAGAACCTCACGTTCTGCAGAAAAACCGATGGGAATGTCCCATTTGGAATCCAATTTGATGACTTTAAAGCTGCTGAAGCCTTGGTGGAAGATTTGTGGCCTGACTCAGGCTTCCAGGTGGAGGAGGAGCTTTCACTCAAGCAGCATTTCAAAGGTAATAAATCAATACATTTCTTATTTGTGAGCCTGCGCTGGCCCGTCTGACCACCTCTCTGTTTCTCTTCAACAGAAGAACCAAAGGAGGAACCAATGGAGGATGAGGACTCCCAGCAGTGAGACGACTCCTGTGGTTTACTTTTATGAAAACCAAACACGGAGCTTCATATTCGCGTGCTCTCAGCCTGCAGCTCTGAATCTGATGTGCCCCCATGCTGTTAGCGAGGGGGGCAGGGTTTAAATGCACGCTGTCTGTGTTCACATGGAAGATGGATAATAAAGTTGTTTTGAATCTGAATGAATCTGTGTGTCTGTGTGTAACACCAGCTGCACCCACTGACTGTGTAATCATGGTGTTATAGTGGTACAAATGGTCAAACAGCGTTTGACTTTCCTCTGAAACACACGTTCACCATCGATCAGGATTGTTGATTTTTTGAGAAAAGTTACTAAAAGTTTGCAGAGCTGAAAATGATTGAATGCGTTTTTTAATCTGAAACTAAAAGTCTCAGATTTTCAGTTTGTGAAGAAAAAGAAAAGAAGAAAACAGAAACATTTGGCTTGTATAAAGAAGCCTCTGTGTGACCGTGACGTCTCCACGAGCCAGCAGAGTGTGTGCGTATGTGTGGGGGGGAGGCATGCATCAAGGGGGCGCTTCACACAGGCTTCTTTACATGCTGTTCGTGGTGTACGTGACATGACAGCATGTTTCCATCGGCTGTTATCGTCCTGTTTACAGACTATAAAGAGTTCATATCGCAGGCGTGTTTGGCCACGCCCACCGGCGGAGCTGACAGTTTCATTTCTTAATAAATCCATTATTCTAGGTGGGGTCTGAATAAAGTCTGAGCTGTCAGAGAGGAGAAATCACTAATGCTGAGAGTGAACTCAACGTCTGACAAGGACAATTTTCTTTTTTCTTCATTGTTGAACTAAATCGTCCTCTGTCTGATCATGCAGACACAAATAGAATATGAAGTAAAAACTATAAAAAGTAAGCATTTGAGGCTGAATGACCTGAAACAGGAAGCCCAGAATTCCTATTTGTACAAGAAATATCTGCACAAAGAAGACATCCCTGCATATCCCCGACCGGAGCTTCGTGTGTCTTGTCTGAAACACGACACAAACCGACAGGGTTTATGCGGTATCAGGGCTGACGAAGGCTTCAAGGATCCTCGTGGAGGTTCCTCTGATCCTCAAAATCTCCCCCTGGTGTGGTGGAGTCTGGCCGTGAGGCCCGAGGAGATCCAGTCGGCTGAGACGAGGCTCCTGGATGAGACCTACCCAAAGCGGACGGAGGAGCAGGCCGCGAAGCAGGAGAACTTCCTGTGGAGGTTCGCCTCCTCTCCAGCCTTCAGTGAGAGGTCCAGGTATGGCTCATACC